ATTTTGATTTTCTTTTTTGGTCTTTATCAGTAAAAGAGACAAAAAGTACAAGTCTTGTTGAATTAATATTTATAAAAATGCCTGTAATATGGTAATATGGTGCTATTTCATAGCCTTAGTTTTTACTGAAATGGTATTTTTTTCCAAAAAGTTTGAGAATCAGTGATTGACAGAATCCACCTTGCCGAATGTTCGCCTTGCCGAATGCTTTTATTTGGAGTTGCAAATAAAAGCAGTCGTAGAAATGCCTTGCTCACATGTTTCTCCAGCTGGAACAGAAAGATGTTGCAGAGATCTCAGCGTTACAGATTGGAGGTCACGATCTCTTTAGTTTGAGTCCTTTGACTGTGTGGGAACATTCTGGAAGTTCTACAGATGTTTCCAAGGGGCTGAATTTGAAGAAATACGCCTTCATGGAAATATCATCCGAGGCCACGAGAAAAGAAAATCTCACCATCTGTGAGATGCTTAGGAATGCTGGTAAAGACAGGAGGAGCCTGCAGCAGGTGTGGTTCGGTTCAGCCTTGAATACATTCAAGGTGTCAACGCAAACATTTCAAAACAGCAAACTGTGAAAAACTTAATGAATAATTCAACTAGTTTTCTCCCTGACAGTATTTCTTTTTTTAAAAGGGTAATTACAGAACGGTATTCATAAAACAATACACACTTAAAGTGGAGACGCCAGCACTTCTGTTCAGCCTATCTCTGTGTGTGTGTGTGTGTGTGTGTGTGTGTGTGTGTGTGTGTGTGTGTGTCTCCCTCCTCTTGTTATCTGAGACCTGTCTTTCTAGGCTGCACAGCATTCCATCCCAGATAAGGGACCCAACCTTTGGCCCCCTCTTCCAGTTCAGCTGCAGGTCAGTGCAAGGCTGCTCCTGTCACTCAGCTCGGAAAAGAACAACTCCCTGAATGGTGGCGGAGGCGGCCGGGGGGCACCGGGGGCAGGGATGCTAGCAGAAAAGAAGCTTGAATCGGGTCTAGCCATGACAATGGGTCTGTGAGTCACATGTGGGGTTTCTGTCCATGAGGCGGTTCAGACTGAGCAAAGGAATGCTGGTTTGTTTCTCCAAAGAAAAGGGGAGATTAAGGAATAAAAGCCCGGTTACTCACAGAGTTGTGTCATACTGCTGGACCAAATATGCAAACTCTTTGATGCCCATATTTTAGTCTTGGCTGCACTACTCCTGATATGTTTTCAGAATTTTGTCAAATATTCTGTGACTGCCAGGTGAGTCTATCTCCAGTCTGCAACGGTCAGAGTTCAGCATGCTTCTGATCCGACATGTCATCAAGTTCTTGTGCTAATCTATAAGATTCCAACCAAAAACATTTCACTGTGCCAGTAGGTGGTGATAGTGACGTCAACAACAACAACAACAACAACAACAACAACAACAACGTCCAAAACAAAGCGATCTCGAGGATGTTTTTGAGCCTGACTTATGCTTCCCATTTTGCTTTCAACCACAAACATTTTCAGCTTGCAATCAGAGTCGGGACAAAGCCAAATACGAAGGAAAAAAAAATGTGTGAAGGTGACCTCTGCATCACTATTTCTAAAAATCTTTGTATAAACAGTAAACACTCTTAGGGAACAAAGCGAGGATTTAAAGCTCAGTTTTTCCCCATCAAAAGCAGCATGTACGTGGGCAAGACACACAAGCACAGCAGGAAATCTCCATTTTTTTTTTTAAACACAAAACACAACAAACCATGAAAGCATTCACTTTGAAGCTTTCCTTGGTAGTTAAGCTTAGCGTAAAAAAACTGACAACCATAGCTACTGTCAGAAGTTTGAAGCTTAATAATTACAAATAAACTATGTTCTCTAGATGACACAGATATTCCACCAAGTTTTAGAAACCTGTGCTTAAAGAACAACAATGCTTTCCCTGTGGTTCAAAGTCCTTTTAGGACGAGATGAAATAAAACAAATTAGCTCATATTACTCATTCTTGTTTTAAAACTTCCTGCCAATTCAATAAAAATGTCCCTTTTTACTCAAGATTATGTCACTACGAGAATCTAAAACTTGCATAATGCAGTGGGAGTAAATAGAAATGCTCAACTTTCTCTTAGCTGGAAGCAAAACATTTTTGATGGCTTGCGATCAATGTGAGGTTGTTAGTGTGAGGTTGTTTGGGACTTTTTCGACTGATGTTGATCAATATCCCACAGGAGACCTGAACTCCTGATTTTCTGTTCAGCCGCTACAGCAACATTCAATGTTAGTTAACTAGCATATAGCCAATTAGCACACCAATAAACAAAGTAATGCTCTGGCTACGTTCAAACCATGCTGCCATACTGCTTTGTCATTAGTATTTAATGTTAAAGGAATAAAATAAGTGAAATTCACAAACATTACTGAAGCAGAAGGAGATTTGGGAAACCATCTGTTTCTTTAAATGAGATTCCAGAAACATCCAGTGATGATGTTAATGTTTTATTGTGTGATGTAAATGTGTCTTCAAAGTTATACTAAGACCAAACACAATTCTTCTAAATAAAATAAAAAGTTTCTAGGAGTAGCTTCTAGAAATGTCAAGAATGTTGTTTGAAAATGGTTCATTCCTGTTAAATAAATCCTAAACCTTTCAGTTATTGATGAACATCTGATTCACTGAACACGAAACAAAGCAAACCCGTCCCTTTACCTCTTTGTAGTCGTCACTGAGGTAGATGACAGACGCCTGACTGATGACATCGTCTCCACCGTCCATTTTATCCAGCGCCTTCCTCACCTCATCCCTTCTTCACTTCCCTCCCCAAACACAGGCTGGATTTCTTCAGACCGGCTCCAGACTTTCAGCCCAGTAGGAGTGCTACCAGAATCCCACAAGATTCAAAACCGAAGCCAGAAACTTTTCTCCTGTCCCCGATGCCTTCTCCTCTGACATGCTGTTCCTCTTTTCTCTCCACTCAACCTTTTCCCGCAGGACCGGGAAGGCGAAGGTAAGGCCCCGCTGGACCCTCCCTACCTTCCACCCTCTGCTCGGGGTCTGGCCTCTCACAGTCCAGGGACAGACAGAGAGGAGGAGAAACTCACACACTGGTGGGTTTTTCTCTCTCTCTCTCTCTGACGGGGGGACAGCAGCTGGAGAAAGAGACACTTGCACGATGGGCTCTAGATAGCAACTGCGTGTTTTTTTTAAGTGCATGCCGGTGTCTCCTGTAAACCTCTCTGAGACATGAACCTCTTGCTATCTGAGCCAACCCGCACTCCTAAGACTTGTGTCCGTAAGAGCAAGCAAGCCTCCATGTCTGAGGCAAAATGAACGCAAAATTGTGTGAACATGCAACAGAGAGGATAGTGTGCTCCCTTTCTGCCAAGGTAAAAATAGAGCCTCGTCTGGACTCCAAAGCCAACAGCCCCACAGCTCCGGCCAGCTAAATAAACCCTGACTGAGCACAATGGACCATTAGTCTGGCACACACACACACACACATACACACTCTTTCTCTTTCTCTCTCACACACAAGGGGATTGCTTGTGCTCTGTATCAGAGATGTATTCCCAGTCTGAGCTCTCCATGGTGTGTGCTGACCTCATCTTTGTAAAAAATGTGAGCGACCTGTGACTCACGTATTCACCGCAGCCGGCCAGACGGAAAACGATAACATATGGCTGCAGATTCAGAAATCATGCTATGTCAACAGGTTACACTGACAAAAACCCCCCCAAAAAAACTAAACATGGGAGGCAGGATAAGGAAGCGGGAAACTATAATCGAGGGGAAGTAAAAGTAAGAGGAGTAATCCACATGCAGTTAAACAGGGTATGTAAATGTTTAAAGTGTCGTAATTAGGCTGAGAATTAGCTCTGTTCTGCAATTTAATTACTTTTATTATGTGGGATTGTAAAATTTATTTTTAAACAGCAGCTTACAAACCTTTTTGTTAACCAATAAACTTAATCAATCCTAACAGAGTCGCCTGTACTGACTGGAAATGCATCCAGAGAGCTGACCGATTTTCTCTTTATCACTTTTCATCAGTAATAGGGAATTCAAATCCTGAAAAGTCGTATTCTTTTCTGTCCACTGAATGCATCAAAACTCACACCAGATCTCACACCGGCTGCAGACCAGAAAACTTTCAGCTCGTCTTGCTCTGACTATTGATGTGCCTGTGGCAAACTAAAAAAAAAAAAAAAAAAAATCAGGTATGGAAAAAGAAATGTCAGTCTCAGAACCTTAATTCCTCCAGGTTCTGGAGGTTTTATGTTTTTAACTTAATTAGAAAGAGGTAAACTGATATGAAGCCAAGTTCATCAGATAAAAGGAAGGCGGACCTTTCAACCTGTGTCTGTTATGAATCATCCTGGTTTGCAAATGTTAGCAGAGTTAAGGTAGGAGTTTACAATCTGAAGGGAAAACATCTGCAGTATCCAGATGCAAAAGATGGTAAAATTTCAGCTCTAAATTATTCTACCTTTGTTTTAAAATAGCAGTAAAAGCCTGGCTTCCTGGATTCACTCTGTCTGAATTAAAGAGTGACGACACTGCTGGTTATGATATAGCTACTTCATAACAACTTACTGCTGCAGGGCTAGAAAATAATATTTTGAATGCTTTTATTTACAGATCGTGTGATATCAAGAGTTTGCTAGAATTGGTATCAGAAGGACAGACTTTAAAAAAAATCAAGAGATTGAAAATGGTTCAGAAAACTCACATCAGTGCTTCTCCATTCCAGTCAGTCGACTCAAACAAAAGGCACAAAGTAACCGAGTTTAATCACATTTTCCACATCCAACTGCTACGCTTTCATTCACACTGAATCATACAAAAAAGTAGCGTCTCTCATGGGTCTCTCATAGAGATCTTGGATAAGAAATGAACCAGAGAGAAAAGAAAAAAAAGTGGGGCAAAAGGAGGGATGATAAGACAGAGAAAAGAACGAAAAAAGCTGCCACTGAAATAGACAAACATGACTGACTTTGGTAGTTTTCTTTCCGAGACGGAATGGATGACTAATATTTGAGAAAGGGGGACTCAAAACATAACAAACCCGGGGAAGAATTTGCCTGGAAATGTTGAGAAAAAAAATCAAATAACAAAAACGTGAGTTTAAGTGACAAACAAACAAACAAAAAAATTGAATTGATGTAATTAAATGCTGACTTCCTGGGATAAAAGGTAGAATCTGGTTCAAAGTCTCCCTGCTGTCTGAATTTACCCCAGAAAACTGACGATCCAGACGACACACAAACACACACACCCATGAAATCAGTGTTTTCTGCGAGCGGGGGTTGCCTGGGTGGGGCAGAATCATCCCCACCCGATGTTCTGCTTCATTACTGAGGCTGACTTCATGGTGAAGATGAAGTCACCACTGATACAAAGGAGGCTGGAAAGGAAGAAGTTCTCCACGTACACGCGTCAGCGGGGCGTGACGGGAATCTTCAAGCAGATACCGACTGGAAGCGAGCCTCAACAGGACCGCAGGTCGAGGCCGCTTTTCCGTGATGGCCTGACTGCTGGGTCAGCTGAGAGAGAGGGAGAATCAAAGTAAGTTCGCGCACAGAACGGCTTATTGTTCCAAGTGAACAGAGGGCGACTGTGGGAGACGGTTCCTGGCACCTCCTGTAAGCCTCCGATCCAAGGCTGGTGGCGTTATTAGTGCGTCTTTGTGTTCGTCTGCAGCTATATTTGTGAGAACGAGCTTCGCTTCCAGAATGAGGATATTTTGGTTTTCACTTCCGACACATTTTCTAAGGCATAGCTGAAGGTTAGCTGTACCCATGTGAGGATACAAGTCAAATCAGACCAGACCCGTCCCTCTGTTTTTGCATGCAGGCTGCTAGCTGTCGGCTCTCTGCTTCTGAGTGCCTGTATGCCTGACTCAGACATGCGAAAGGAAAAGCAGAGACTCTTGAATGCTTCTTCTTCGTTCAGCAGGGGGAGGGGGAGAGCTGGCGCTGCTGTCCAAGTAGTCTGGCGAGAGTTTCTCCATGGTGATGCTTCGTGTTTCAAACAAATTGGGCTGTGAAAGGAGCACAGGGTGGCCCGTCGGGAAGGCCTGTAGCTCACACAGAGGCCCGCGTTTGAAGGGGACTCCTGCAAATTATGTAATATTAGCCCAGAGAAGAAATGTTGAATGGTAAAACAATGACCTTCATCACACTGCACTAAAATAAGAAACAGCTATGGACAAAAGCAATGCTTTCCAGTCTTGACTATGTAAACAGTGGCAGTGGCTGAAGAGTGAAATATAAAAAGTGTAAAGAAATGTGAGCATTTACTGTTTGAATTTGTTGAGTTTAGGAGAATTTCTAATGCCAGTGAAAAAATGAACAGAACTATATCAAATATTTCAGGTTAGATTCATGCGGACAGAATCTACCTCTTGTGAAGCAGCTTGGTCTCATAAATAGACTTTTCTTTGCTTTGCTGCAGACAACATCTACAGGCGCTGCCATGTTGAAATTCTGACTTTTTAACTGGAACGTTGTTACCTTGAGTCTGATGTCAAATCCATGTTCCTAATTATGACTTCCCAGGTAAATGAAATGCAGCATCACTAATCTGGACCCTAAATCACAGGCTGGCATGGAGTCAAAAGGCAATACTCTTACTAAGGTGAAACGGCTTAAAAAATAACATGCAGTTTGTTGGTGAGGATGTCAATTCCAAGCTAGCTACCTGAGCTAACCAGCTAGCATCACCTTGTATAAACTCCAAGTGTTACTCTATGAAGAGTAGAACCGCAAAAAGAAATTTGGTGCAACAAGAACTTAAAAACTTTACATTTAACGGCTGTTTATTCTACATCTATGCATTAAAATCCTAGCAAGCATAAATAAATGCTACAGACAACATGATAGCAGTAACAATTTTAATGTTTTATTTTTGCTGCATTGGGAATAATTCTTGTGTTGCTCTTTTAAGTAAAACTCTAAATCAATCAACTTAGATTAGAAATGATTAATCTCACAGTGAAATAGGGCTCAAGACTGTCTTTAGAGCAATATTCTATGTAAAGTCACCCCAAGTTAAGATATATAACAAACTACAAACGTGCTCTGTTCATCAAATGTGATCTTCCAGGAGAACATCCTGCATCTTCTGCTCCTCTTAGTTTGTTATTTGTCAGGCTAAACCTCATATAGACTTACACTGGAAAACTCTCTCAGCCCTATCCATCACACTGTATGAGCTTGTCAACATAAACAAAACGTAACAACAAAGACCCAATGCCATGCATGATTCAGCGTTCCCTCAGAGCGCCTACAGAGTCAGCGTGCTGCCAGGACCGCACCAGCCTGTGAGGACACACTGTGGCCAAACGCATAAATCTCTCCATCAGCGCTCACACCCCTGGCGCTGCTGCAGCTGTTGACAGTAACACAGCTCTGCGAGGCTTGGAGATTTTTTTTCTGCGAGAGTGAGAGAACAAGATTATAAACGTCTTAGCAACCTACTTTTTATTTTTTATTTTTACCGACTTAAATGCTTAATTAAGTGAAGTAGATCTGTTATTTTCATGTTCTGATGATGAACTTCTTTCTTTCTATAACTTTTTTTTTAGGCTCTGGTGGCAAGAGTTTAGATTTATGGCCCACCCTCAGTGGAGATTGGACCAATCACACATCCCAAGAAGAGTTGTACTTGACTCACCCTGTGGTTACAAAAAGTGACAAAATGGAGCTGTAATATGTTAAACAAAAGCTAAAAATGAGAGACGTCACACTGCTTAAATAAATGGTGGTCTACAAATAAAAGCAGTAAAACCAATTATAATAATATGTTGGGTTTACTTTGGGCTTATAATAGTCGGGTCAGATTGGGCTCTGACACAATGTCTACGGGCGTGGACGGATTTGTTAGGCCAGATCTCAACTCTACTAGGCCAATGCTGAACAATGAATAAACAGGAAGTAGGGAGGAGAGAGACAGGAAGCAGGAAATGGCCTGAGATCGGAAGTCGAACCCAGGACGACTGCATTGAGAACTACAGCCTCGACCAACTGAGCCACCCAATCATCCAATTTCTACTTATTCTTCAGCAGCAAAATCGATGGATAATTTTAAGAAACTATGAGTCAGACCTATGCTTCAGCAGCCTTCCGAAACTGTCACATAACCACCAACTCTTTCAGACACCGAGAGCCTAAAAACACTGTGAGCCGTCTGTAGAAACAGGGGAATATTCTGTGTTACTTTGCCTTTTCTTTGCTCTTTTCTTCACTGCATCAAAGGCTATAGAGAAACAAATGTAGAACCACACCTTATTCAAATCAGGACGGGAAGAAACAATGCGGAGACTCAGAGCGGAGACTCCCTTCAGACGTGGGCCGTCCCAGGAGACCACCGGAGGAGAAAACGGCTACAACACCTTCTCCGACCTCCTCCATTCAACACTTTATCTAATTACGTCTTGACCATTGTAGCTCTTCATTACGCTAATTCCCTCTCCTGCGTTGTCATTGCCCTTTGCATCTTTCCGTCCCCGCGGCGGCTCTGTGTTTTACATATAAGCGAGGGGCTCTGCCTGGCCTGGTTGCCAGGATACGGGGTCTAATTGAGGGGTCTCCAGAGAGTAGCTGTTATCAGAGCCTGAACCCTCTGTTCCTGTCACCGCCCTCATGCTTTCTCTTTTTGGCTCTGTTTCTCTTATATTTCCACCCACGCATCAAGCACACAGTGTTAGACGTCTTTCTGACATCTTCAAGCTTTTTTAGACTCGTATATCGAACTGATGTTGACAGAATCTTTTTATCCTTATCTGCTTCCACTGTAGTTCCCTCAAAGAGTTGGACATCAGTTTAATTTCTTGCTTTGCTCCCTTTGCTTTTGGGGTTTGTGGATGAATTTCCTGTTGCTCGCTTTATCTGCCCGTTTCATCTGCCGTCTATCCGTTTGTGCTTCCACTGGTTATCTGCTGCTCCATTTCTCTTCGATCCCACCGTCTTTTCTGTCACTCTGCCGAGCCGTTATCTACCACAGAACATGGCACGGAGTCCTTAGCCGGCATCGTAGCTGCTTTCCAACACACACAAGTCTAGATTCACATTCCTGACAAGCGAATTCATTGGTTGAAGAAGCATTGATGCCGTGTTTTCCTATTCCTGTGTGCTGACGATGAAATGATTTGTCAGCCGCTAAGACAGTCAGTCTAAAATAACTTAAAACTTCCTTCTGCCAATCTGCCAAGATTCATCTCTGCCAGCCGCAATAATTCTAAGTAGTGGATGCAACTTATACTCTAGTAACGTCTCTCTGACTGGACGTTACTTTCTGCAATCAGTAATCTGGCTGGAGCGTTATCTGTATTTAGGATTTCTCAGGTTTTCAAGAATAAAGTCAGAGGAAGCATGAAAGGTAGAAATAACTCCTAAAAATTTTTTTTCTACAGATGCTCATTAGCTAACATGCTTTTTCTGTCACCAAGCTGTGTTGAACCTTTAGTCAAATCTGTTAATTTAATTGCGGAGCTGTTTAGCGGCGACTGCTCTCTCGAACACACACAGTGTGATGTCGCCTCTGTTCTTAACTTAACTAGTTAATGATCAGTTGAAGGAAGGATTATTAATGCTCCTTCATAGTTACATCAAATAAATATGATTCATTTGACAATCTAACAGGTTTACTAAAGTTCTATAAAAATGTTATTTATATTGAACGGAAAATATGTAAAAAATATATATATATATATTTTGTGACACTTACAGATGTGTCAAAAGCCCAGAATCTTGTTGCTAAAAAGTTCAATGATCATCTTATCAAGGAAAAAAATTGGAGCTCTTAAATCACAACTGGCTAAAAATCTATTTCTACATGACAGAGAGCTGCAAAATTGGCGATCGGTGCTTCTCAAAGTTATAATTTAGACTTTTTGTTACGAAGTTTCATGTTGATGAAACACCGAACACGCATTCGTCTCTCTAAAACTCTCCCACATCAAAGAAGCTCCATATTCCTTATTCAGTGCTTCTTCCCCAGGCATATTCTGCTCATTTTCTTGCCTTTCATCCACCTCTCTGTTCGTTCTTACTCTCCATCTCCACTGCAATGCAGATTTTTCTTCCCTTTATGGAAAGCCACAGCCAGGATGCAGAATGCTAAATTTCTCCCACTTTTCTGTTAAGATATAATGGAAGATGCACCCGCAGAATCACACACATACACACACACACACACGCACATCAGGAAAGCCTTTTCAAGCAACAACTGCATGTTTTCTTCACTAGTTTTAGAAATATGTGAACCTGCCACACTATGGGTTACATTTTTTTTCTAAAAATGTTAACAAATCCAGAGTTTTTACACACTCGGAAAGTTGCAGGCATCATGCCTGGACTGACGAGGCTGTATGGAAGAGGACGTGAATGGGAGGTAAGGCATTATTCCCATGAGTCAAGTGCTCTCTTAGCAACCAGCCAGACATCGGATTCACAACACAATCACGTAAGACGAGGCAAAAGAAAAACTCCCACACGGTCTCTTGCAGAGACACACATGTGCAACAATCGCCCTGTCTAAATGTTGCATTCAAAGCATTGAGGTACAAATATTTACAAATATTTAAAACTTGCACAAAAAAGTCAGTAACAACAGGATATACATAGAGAGAGAATCCCAAGGAAGCATATAAATTTCAGCAGTTTTTCCTCTGAGGACTACCTTGTAAGAACAGTTTTCCTGGTGGACCATCCTTCACAGCATCCTAGAATGGGGCTGGCTGAGCTGGAAGGAGCAGGAGCGAGACTGGGATGAAATTCCCAGCCCTGCAGCGGTATTCCAAAGGGAAGAGGGGGGAGAGGTCCCAATGAGTCCTGGATCAGAACTAACAGGGCGGTGGAAAATTAAAAAAAAGTCCACAGCTTGTGCCCGGCCTCGAGTCAGGCAAGTCTTCACCCACCCTCTGCTCTGAATCGTTGCTTGTTATCTGCTCTGTTTTTTAAGAGGAAGGAAAAAAAAAAAAAGGGTAGGGTTTGATCTGCTTCCCGAACGCTGAAAAAGAAGGAGGGGCGTGAGAGACGGGAGGAGGAGGGGTGAGAGAATGGGAGAGAGGCTTAGAGAGCGAGAGAGATAGAGGAGAGCTTGGTTTTCTCTCTCTGCTTTGGACTGAAAAGAGGGAGGAGTTGTGTTGAGCTGAGTGTAAGCGGAGCTGGCCGGTTGGGGAGAGGGGACCGCGGAGATGGGAACGGAGGGGGCGGCGTGGGCCAGAGCTGGGACGCTGTCCGGCATTTAATGTGGAGCCACGCCAGAGGTGGAGAGACAAGGAAGGGCAGAGGACTGACTTTCATTCCTCAGTCCTGCACCATCATCATCAGAATGAGAATATAACACGGGTATCGACAGAAGTTTACATTTTCATAAGAAAGTCTGTAAAAATGCTAAATATCAAAAGCAGGTGTCCAAAAATAGCATATAGCCAAAGTTTTTATACATTAAAAACTACAAAGATCTCCACGTCACTAATGTTATCTGTATATTTCTGTTTCCTGAAATTGTGGGTCATGAATGGAAATGCGTCGACTGTGCAACTTCTCTTCATTGTTTGTCTTGTTGTAGGACTATAATCCCTCGGCAGCAGATGGCCGCTCTATAATCCACATCAAAACTACTCAGATAATTCCTCTCTTCCCCGTCTATTCATTACTCAGTTCAGACATCTTTTCATTACTTGGAAAAATCCATGTTGTCGTTTTCCTTGTTTGTGTACTAAATAAACATTCCAAGCATTTTTACCGCTGTGTACAAAGATAAACTAACTAACTGAACACAAAACTTTAAAAAGCATCTAGCTAGAAATACACGCAAGAATCAGCTGATGATGGACCACTAAAAAATATATATGTAAAATCATATTTTCTAGTTTGTAAATTTACCATGACCTTAGTACTACCAGATCAGAACTGCAACACTGTTCGGTGTGGATGTTACTGATGAAAGAAGATTCGACGTTAGCCATTTTCAGTTACAGTGACATATTTATCAGTAAGTGGAGGAAGATGTGTGAAGACAATTAAAAGGAAAATGCATATTGTAAGACATGTTGAGAGAGGAAGAGAGCAATACTTAAAGTAGATAACATGAAGGTAAAACTTAGAACAGCAAGGACAATAGGCTGACGAATAATAATAATAGTAGCAACTAATGTTTTCGGACAATAAATCATCTTCAGTATTAGTTTGCTAATTTCTTACAACATATAAGAAAAATGTATATGTTATATTTCAGTAATTATTGGCAAAAACTGATGTAAATAAATGTAAGCGGTTCCACAGCTGGTTGCCTGGACGCATCTAGATTGCTGATGAGATTTTCAGATTTAGTCATTAATGACTTAATAATGTGGTTAGTTAGGAAATTATTGACATTTAAAAACAATTCACTACCAGTAAACAACCAGTAAAGCATCTATAGTACAGGTTTGCAACTTCCTCTACTGATATGTTCATGTACTTTACCACAGCCTACTAGTTTATTTATTTTGGTAGGTGAGTAGTTTGATTTTGATTTGAAAATATAAATTACTACAAAGAGGATCTTAGATTCTATTTCTACTGATTGTGATTCTGATTCCCCTTTGGTACAGTTGACTCATGAAACCAGAACAGAGTGTCCTCTGGTTTGGTAGATATTACTTACTGACATCTCATTACCGCATCTCCTTACGGTAAGCTGTGAGTAAATTATAGAAAATAAACTTCAGTCATCAGCTTTTAAAGAAAAGTATTCAAATAAATAACCCAAAGGCAGATCCAAAAAGAACGTTGTTTGTAAAA